GACAACTGTCTCTCTGTAGTTCAGTTGGTTAGAGCTCGACAACTGTCTCTCTGTAGCTCAGTTGGTTAGAGCTCGACAACTGTCTCTCTGTAGCTCAGTTGGTTAGAGCTCGACAACTGTCTCTCTGTAGCTCAGTTGGTTAGAGCTCGACAACTGTCTCTTCACATTGATCGTAAACATCGGCGATGCCCATTGTCGGTGGTCATTGATGCATAAAATGTTTTGTGCATTTTCTTCTTCGTTGCTCGCAGACAATGGATCGCAGAACATCGCCAATCAATGTGAACCAGGCTTTAGGTAAAAAAATTTATGGCTGTTTGTCAGCCATAAAATAAGATAAATCAAAACCAAAATTACCATCTGTACCAAAATAGACCATCAGTGACCGAGGAAGGACTCTATCATTGATTAGCAGAAACATGATTGCTTTGGCATACTCTCAGTGAGTTTGAGTGTGAGTGAGCCATGTCACCATAATCTTGTGTGTTTAATTATTATGAAGTACAGTAACACATGGGTTGGGTAAACATTATTTTGACCAATGTTGAGGATGGGTAAATAAAAAATTTACAGTGTTTTTCGCTTCTCTTCGGTACCAACCCCAGATATAAATAATGAACCGTCCCTTATTTTAGCATATCAGGGGCAAATAAAGATTATATTCCCATGTTTTCCTTGACGAATTTGTTTCTTGCCGTTATTAGGCTCAATAACGAAGTAATTTTCAACTTTACTAAGCACAAAACATAAGTAGCCAAGTAGGTATTTGACATGAAAACGCCGAGGCCATTGGGCGAGAATAAACGGTATGGTCTATTAGTTATATCGAATGAGATGCCCCATCCAAACGAACTCTGATATTTACCCATTTCTCGAATTCTCGCTTGTATAAAGCATAGATATGGTCAGGGACGCCGGAATGATGTGAAGGCAAGGTGGGCAGATTTTCGTGAAAGGGCACTTTTGAATTGATATCATACTAAGAGATGTTTGCAAAACATCGGGAGTTGAACTTCGCCTAATCATGTTTTCTATTTATTGGACGATAGGGGTGTGAGGGGGTTCTCCTCCAGGCGATTGTGCTATTCTTGAAGCTCGATGACTGCATTTCTTGCGTTTTCTGAAGCAAATTCGTAAAAGAATTGCACTAACATTTCTGACAATTCTCTATTTCCCCAAGGCAATTCTTTATATTGAAAGGGCACCTTTGCCCCCCTTGCCCCTCCTGGTGAAGGGCAACGGGGGCGGCTGCCCCTCCTGCCCACCAGTTTCGGCGTCCCTGGATATGGTATAAAGCCAGTTTTCCACTTCAATCGTATCGTACCGAAACGTAGCGTATTTCTTTGTTTCCAGAGCACTAGAGTGGAACTAATGACTTCGACACAAAAGAAAATGTTACGATACGTTACGATACGGTTGAAGTGGAAAACCGGCTAAACACCTGAATCTGAAATGCTTAGATCAATACACAATTCCTGTTCCTAAGGATAAATTCGTGAAATTAAATACGGGCCAATATCATGGCAAGGGCGACCATCACCTCCGTTGTCCTTGACCTTGCAAGTTGTTATTTTAAACCTATTGGATATCACCAGCGGGATGTAATTTGGGTCAAATCTAATTAACGAATGACGCATGTGTCCCAGAATTGCGGAGATTATATATCAGGTTATACAATCTGTAATAGATAGCTCATAAGCACGCATGCATGCATGTATTATGTCTATTAATAGTATTATGCATGTATTTTCATGATTCTGGGCATTGGTCTTTCAACTCGACTTCAAAAACGTCAGAATAGAGCTGCAAGGATAATAATAAGAATGAAAAATGATAGCCCTGGATTAGAAGCAATTTCTGCTTTAGGGTGAGAAACTCTTGAGTTTCAACGAACCAAGTCAAAGCAATTCAAATGTACAAAATTTTAAATGATTTGGCTCCAAACGCACTTGTCAATCTTTTTGTGCGCAAAAGTGACATCACACATTATCAGCTTAGGGGCTCCACTCCCTCTTTGCAACTCCTTTCAGCCCAGAACTGAAAATCTAAAAAAAAACATTTTTCTTATGATGGGGCCAAATTGTGGAATTCCTTACTCCCAGATTTGTGTGGGAGTCAGATTCATTGCTGATATTTAGAAATGGAATACTGCTCACAATTCCATGTAATTTATTGTAAATATAGTTATTATAGCCATACTAATAGGTTGATTTTTGTAAATATTTTTGTAAATATTTTTATACTGTTGATGTAATGAACACGCCCCTCGTGGAAATCAGCGAAAGTTGACGAGGCTAACTTGTTGTTTTAAATAAAGTTTACCTACCTACCTACCATTCTTCCTATTGTTTTTAAAAAAGTCTTTCAATATTGAGTTTTTAGTTCTGAAATTAGTTTGGAAAGCGTAAAAATAGGCTAACGGATTAAGACCGGCATCAACCTCGCAAGCCAGGCTCAGTAGAGAGCCTCGGCTTGCGAGGTTGGACCGGCATTAAATACTTCAAACACAAAATAAACTTTCCATGATCCATGCACTTGGGATGTTGCTCCACTTTCGAAAAGCGTAAAAATACACTCGCCTGCGACTCGAGTATTTTCTCGTGTATGGATCACGCAATCCTGCACGGAAAACCATTCGGTATTCCTTTATTTAAGCATACTTGTAGCCACGGTTGTTTCTGGCTGTAAAGATTGCATGATTCCGGTATTCTTTATTGCCACGGCGGTTTGTGGCTATAGAGGATCCGGATATCATATTTGAGACAGCTGTGTTCGTTTGTTTTTTTGTCGCGTGATCGCTTTTATATTCACTCAGCCAAAGCTGATGTAATTTATTAATTTTCCCCTCTGTATATATTGTGTAGGTAGTTGTATCCCTATTAATCTAAACGTCTAAGCCAAGCTGGCCATTTTAAATGCATAAGCTCCGTACAGTTGTATCAAAGCTGTCAGTGCAGAAAACACTCGATGCGATAAAACACGCGTGTTTTTCGTCTTTTTCCACGCGTGTTTTCTTCGCATCGCGTGTTTTCGGCACTGACCGGTTTGATACAACTGTATGCACATTACTCGCAGCAGAGGACGCCATCTTGAAGTTGACAAATTCAATTTTGAAACTGAAAATCACATTTTGAGCATAAAGAGTTGTTGTTTTATTCTTCGATCTAGTTCAAGGCTTCTAGAAAGTGGGAATACTTATAGTGTTGTCGTGAAAAGTCGTGGACAAGTAACTTTATTCGTGAAATACTGAAATTGTTGCGTGTAATACATTTTGTATGAACGTGGAAGTTTTATAATTTACTAATTTAGCATTTAGAAAGTTATTCAACGGCGTTGTGTAGTGTTTATCTCGGGATGAAGTCGTGTATTTTAATGTTGTGTTTTCTTGTGTGTTTTCGTAGTTCGTGGTCAAAGGACGGTATGTCAAAGCATGTTTTTTTACTACTAGCGGTAACTAGCCTAGGTTTCACAAGTTTTTTCTCTTTATTAATATTAACAATCACAAGTTTTTAAAACTTGTTTGCAGTTTAATCCGATTGTAGGTTTTGGTACTTTACTGGCCTGATATTAACTCAGAAATGGTTATTTGTCTTGAATTCCCAAACTGAAGTGCCATTTAATATTTACGAAGTGGCTATTCGTACTGGAATATGGCACCTGATTCTTACATTACGTAAAGTCACAGAGTAGATAAGACATACAGAGACGTAACTGATCGTTGTAAACACTGCGGAAGATTACGTTATCATGTACCCACTTTTTTTCATGCGACCGGGCGAAAAATGATCAACTGTGCGTGCTCAGCAAGTTTAAAGTGAGTCGTCATCAGGTCGTCATCCAATCAGATGCATGCATCTGGTAACTTGCCGAGCATGCGCACAAAAAAAGTGGGTACACTAGTTACGTCTCTGTATGTCTCTACTCTGTGGTAAAGTAGCAATATAAAATAGTTTTTTGCAACAGATTTTAGCGAGCTTGACGCTAGCGTATTCGGCAAAGGCGTTGCATGCGTCCGAAGTGAAACGAGGTCGGGTCTGTGTTTAGTTTAGCCGTCGGTTTTCTGTTGACTTAGAAATTTTTCTTAAAATATTTTTAATTTTTTTCCCCCGACTTTTTTAACTCTCAAATAGTTTATTAGACCTTTCTTGGTTAG